ACATGGCGCTAGGTATACTCTTTTACATATTACCGAGTTTCAAATCCTTGATTCCTTAGGATAGAGCCTTCCCATTTTGCATACATATAGGACGATTGGTTGTGCTTAGAATTTTAGCTGGCTTCCTTTGTCAGACAAGGAATAAGTCCAGATTGCATTAGCTAGGTCGTGGATGCTAGTGTTGTGTGTACAACACTACATCTTTTATAGATTTAGGATTTAAAGGTGAGGGGTACGAGTATACTTCTATACACCTTAATGGTGGGTGAGTTCTCCATTCTTTCGGAGACTATAAATCCTACCCATCCGCGTCACACAGATGACGCCACTTCCTTCTTTCTCTCGTGCATGTTTGAATGCTTGGCCTCTTTCTTTCCTCCAGTTTTCTCTTCTTCAAACCGGCCGGATGTTGACTGAACCATGTGTGATCGGATTGAGCCAGTTTGGGACCTTCTTCCCTTTGATTAGGAAAGCCTAGAAAATCCCCTTACACTAAACCCATTAGAGAAGATAATCTAACATCCCTAATCGAGAGTTTTCTTAGATCAAGGTCTAAGATGTAATTAACTACGGGGGCTTGCGCCCGTAGGAAACCGATCCCCACAATCAAATAAACCCTATTCGGTGCTGATGTATCGAATAGGGGAAATCTTGTGAACTTTTGGGTTATATATATTATTATCCATCGAGGTTGGTAGGTGAAAGCCGCCATTCTCCATGGCTAATCGTATCTATAACTCCATCTGCTCTTCCATTGGCCTGCTTGTGCCAAGTGTAAAGGCCTACGACCATTTTGTCCTACGGGATAGTGTGATCGTACTCTTTACATTCGAACCACACGAGCGGAACCCTTTCGGAGACCCACAATCATGATTCTCGATCTACACTCTGTATGTCTTAGAAGACTTAGCAAATGGTAGGGGTTTTCATCAAAGAATTCCTCCTTTCACCTCATCCAAACTAATTATCACCATAAAAAAACATACACGTCCTACCTTGCACAATCATTTGAATTTTCTCGTTTATTGTAGTAGCATTGGTCAAATTCCTATCACAAACCATCTCATTGTCATAGATTGGAACCCCGCTATTCCCCTATTTGAAGTGCTGCGGTTTTGATTTCAATTCAAAGAACTAGGAAAAGTTCTCCAAATTAGAGTGCATTTCACAAATTAAATCGCAGACATCTTTGGTTGTTGGAAGGAACAATTGGGTTGCAATTGATGCCTCAATGGAATTGAGAAACCAGGCAATCAGTAAGGAGTTCTCGTGTCCCCATATTTGAAGGAAGAATCACTTAAGAGTTCCTAAATAGCCATATTTTGAAGGAGTTATTAGTAACTGCAGGTTGTTCCACTTCAGTAGTCAAATAACCCAACTTCGTGAGGCCACCAATGTCTAGTTGACAGTTTGAAAACATTCTAAATATTTTTTACAATTAAGTTGTGAATGGACATTTGAAAAGATGTTCTTGATGACAAGTGATCGAGGCACTGTAAAGTTATTCTGAAGTTCACCTTCAAAAAGGGACAGAGCAGGTAAGTTATATATGCTGGTCATCACTATATCAAACACAATTGCCTTCTCCATTAGGGTTTATAGTAATCAATCTCGCATCTCTCATGCCATGAAATCGCAGGTGGTTTTTTATTAATTCTACTTACAAGATCTACTTACAAGGCTATACATGGTTTCTATATAATGGAAGCTAATGCACAAAGTCGGAATCTAATTACATAAGTCAAGCAAAATTTCCTACCATACAATATTATAAAATATGAATATTTCTTGCTGTAATTAAGATTTTTAATTTCCCAAACAAGCCAGCACCGAGACTTGTTTGCATCGTTTCCTCCCTGGGCTAAATCTTCCAAATTAATCACGCCACGATCAGATTCCAAATAAATAGCCAAATCCTTAATAATTATTTTTTTTCTCTTAATTGTCAGGCAAAAGTGAATTCAAATGGTGAATCAAATATGAAAAACAAATGTTTTTATCTTCTAATACACTATCATCCAGGTATGAAAAAGCACGTTTTCTGGTTGATAAAAAAATGACCGTACCCGAGCCTGCTGAACTGTGGCTTGTCAAAATAACTCAACTGACAGCACTAAAGTCATTTACGCTACATCTAAGAAGCAGAACTAAGCTCATCAATGTTAAAAATAAATACCAAGTTCTTTTTTTTTTGAAATATCAATTTGCTTATCGAAACAAAAAGAAACCAAAAAAAAAAGACAATACTACCATATTGTAACTATGCATGAGAAAATGTGCCAGCATGAAGATAGTAATACAATTACAACCACTGGCCTTCAAGATTCATTTGTGACAGTCGTTTAACAAGTTTAAGCCTTTGGTTCATGAATTAACCTACATAAATACACACACACATATATATAGGTTTTGTTGATTCAAAAATAATGCATAAATTAATGACATCATGCAGGCTCACACTCCGACCAAGATAGGATTTAACACAAAAATCATACCCAGGATGGCAGCAACAGAGGCATAATTCTCGACATGGTTGTGCCAAATCATTACGCACTCTCCGATCATAGCAAGTTATGAAACAACCCGACAGCCCAAGCAAAGCAAAGAACAATAGAGCACCTGCAATCATGAAAAAAAAGGAGTCTAAATTTATTGACTGATATAAAAAGTAAAAAATTTCAACCATTAAATGCGACTGCACAAGGGTTAAACTATTTTTGATCATAGCAGACCTCACAGAATTAAAAAGGATTATTAAGCACCAATTAAAATTCTGTTTGAACGCATGGATCAACAGTAACGATAGCTACATTTTTTTAATCATAAAGTTAGATGGACATCATGGTCTCAAGCATTTTGGATACTTGGAGTTCGGGCTTTATATTCAACAATAGCTAAAAAATTTAAACTCAACGTTTACTTTGAAATGAATACTACATCATGAAATAAGCATCTTCTATTCTGAAATAATTCTATTCCAACGCGATAAATTGAAAAAAAAATTTAAAAAAGTCAATAAATAGAACACATCAAATATCATCATCATCATCATCATTAGCCCAACTATTTGTGTTTTCAACTTCAATTTTCTTTTATCATTCATTCATGCTAAGAGTTAAGATATTTAAAATATTGTTTGCAAATCATAATAAAACTTATATCCATACTACATTTGGTCAATTCCTCTTCCTTCAAAATCATGTGATTCTAATTTAATCTGCTCAATGCTCATCCAATAAGAGGCTTTTTTACGATTTGGTGTACATATCCAAACCATTTCAAATAACTTATCCCAATTGTTAGCATTATAGGAATTCATCTAATATAATTATTTCTAATTAATCTATCCATCCCATTTTCACCACACATCTTAACATTATCATTTCTATCACATACAACTTTAACTATCAATGACTTTTTAACAATCAAACATTATATTTCGTAGAACATAGTGATGTGAAACAACCAGGATTTTTAAAGAAATAATAAAAGTTTTGCAAGCTTGCTACTTCACGAATAATGGATTACAAGAAAAGATTGAAGAATTATCTTTGGCAAATTGTTCTAGTAATCAGTTGCAATTTAGACGGATAAGCCAATTCGAAATAAAATCACCAAATCACAGTAAAATTGAATGCACTTGCAATATCAATGCATAGGTTAATGTCAAGAATTTTCACCTCAAGTTCCCTTGTATCTCACTCACGCTCTAGGGGAATTACTTAATGGAGAGAAGTCTTGGGCGAAGTAGACGATGTCACTTAAGAGGATGGTGACGCCGAAAATCTTGATCAGAGGAGAAGTAGCCGGAGAAGGAAGTGAGGTTGAATGTCCCACGAGTTGCCTCTGCACGGACGATCGTGCTCGTTGATCACCTCCGCTAGGTGAAGAAGGATGTGATAGGTTTAGTCTTTAACGAACCCTTCTCTTCCTTGCTATGGAATTCATTTGAATTGGAGCTTCCAAGAGAGAGGTAGGAAGAAGAGAAAGGGGTGGCCAAGGTAGGGAGAAGGGGGCGGGTGGCTTGGATGAGAGAGGATTAGGTTAGAAGAGTGGAGGGGAGGGAAAGATAAAAAATCTGAAATTAATTCAAATTTAAGTGATTTTGGAGGGAATTGAATTTGAAAATTTGAATTCAAATCCAACTAAGGCTTAGGTTTAATTGGCATTTAATGGGGTAATATCCATTAAGGGGACCGGCGGTTTCATGAGGGGAGAGAGGGGGATTAGGGCGAGATTTTGGGAGTTTCTAAACAAGGCTTGTGAATTAGGAAAGATATTAATGAATCCAATTTATTTGAATTTAAATTGAATTCATGACTAAATACTTTCATAATAAAGATGGACAAATAAGGAAAGTATTTGAAATTTGAATTTCAAATTTCAAACAAGGGTAATTACTTTCCTTGTTTTCATGGAGCTAATTTAGGAGGAAAATTATGACAATTGAAATTGTCATAAGTGAGGTGGATCCAATGGGGAGGCTGGCGGCAATGGGGGCTTGGAGGTTTGGGTTTCGGTTGGGTGGGCTTGGATGGTGGTTGGACTCAAGGTGGTGGAGCTAGGGGAGGAATAGGGTGGGGATGATGGCCAGTGGTGGACGGGAAAAGTAGGAACCGGTGGTGGTGGCGGGGAAGAGGAAGAAAAGAAAATAAAAGAACTCAAGTCACGAGCCGCGGACTCTTCCAACGACTGGTTGGTGTTGCGCTTGCCCGCACCTCGGGCTCTCTCTTCTCTCTTGAGCACACTCGAAAAGAAGAAGAAGAAGACAAAAACCATATTTTCATTCAAACATTCATTAAAATTGATACAAAGACTTTGGCCACTATATATAGGCCTTGCTAATGAAAATAAACAAAGACGCATACGCCCCTTGAGCTACAAAGCACTAAACTTCCTCATAGGGGTACAAAGGTCCACTGAAAACAAAAATAATAAAATAAAACTAATACAACAACAAAGCACTCAATAATAAATGCCTCCGATCTTGGCCGTCGATTTGCGATATCTCCTATGATAAACATGCTGGAAACGACGACTAATGTCCTCATCACATAGTCAGCCTAACTAAAGTTTTATAAAAAATTTCATGAAGTCTACATATTCTCAACTTATCATATCCCTTGAGGCACCGCAGCAATTATTTCTTATAAGAAATTTCTTTATCGACCTTAGATATAAATTCATAATTATTTTTTGTTTCTTAAAGTATGTGTCCACCACTTCAAGATCAAAAACCTAATAATATAAAATCAAGTATAGCTTTTTCCATTGCATAAATATCAATAAAAAATGACATGCAAAAATTATTACAACAACAACAACAAGCTTTTATCTCACTATGTGGGGTCAGCTACATCAATGATTTTTCTCCATTGTATCTCATTAAGAGTCAAATTCTCATTTAAATCTAATAAATACAAGATCATTTCTAATATTTTCTAACTAAGTCTTTTTAGGTTTACATCTATATTTTTTAACATAGGCCAAGCATAATATATCTACTCGCCTGACGGGGTCATCAGAAGGCCAACATTTTATGTGACCAAACTATCTAAGGTGACTCTCTCTAATCTTCTCAGCCACTGGAGCTACTCCAACCTTTTCACATATAAAATTAAAACTAAAAGAAAAATATCATCCCATAAAGTAATTTTTACATGAAAAATAACCAAAAACACACAAAGTTCAGTTCAAAAACCAAATGCATTAGTTTTCAATAGGTGAAGAAACTTGCATTTGCCACTTCCAAGAGCAACTTCAGTCCAAATAAGAATAACCATGAGGGGTAGAATCCCAATCAAAGATCTGGAAGTTTCTCACTAAGATAAGTGACTTCATGACTTTGATTGCCAACCAAAAAGCTTGAATCATCTCACCTACTAGTTCAGTGTGTCACTTATTAGTAACAAAATCCCAAAGGAAAAGTAAAATGGTTCGCCAGATACAAAAGTTACCATACAGATAATAGTTAAGAAAGAATTGATGTTCAAAATCTTCTAAGCAACACATCATAAAGATCTTTTTTGGAAAACCCTGAAAATAACCTAAATATAACAGATTCCCTTCAACAAGGCAAGGATTTGATTAAAACAGTGAAGTAGTTCAAATCTCCCCAAACGGAGAAATGACACAACAAATCAAAGAAGCACAAAAACATAAGGCCTCTATAGTAGTCTCTGTATCATATCTGTTTAAGGAAACATACCACATATGTAGTAGAAACTGAGCTTGCTGTCGAAGCCCCAGGCTAACCGTAACCAATACTGCTGATAGCTATCAACTAAATACACCAGATACGCCAATGAAGAAATAACCTGCACATGTTTAGGGATTAGTATTTTTTGTGTCTATTAGTTGTGGTCGGGTGTGGAAGATATGTCTATGTTCATCAAATGGATTTACACGAACTTACCAGTTGAACAGCCAAAAATATGAACAACATGTCTCTGGTAACAAAAAAACGAAACTTTAGGGTTCGCCACTTCCTGTCTGCAAGAACATGAACCCTCAAGTAGTAAGGAGCCTTGCATGTCGTGCAATGAGCAAATGCAAATCCTTCCTGGAGAATATGAAATATCAGTTTGCAAGCTATTTTTTCTATATCAAACCGTGGAAAGAAATAGGAAAAATACCAAGTTCAAGGAAGCTGATATTTTAGCCATAAGTAAAATCAATCAAATTCTTAAATAAACATTTATGTGATATTAATTTTGAATTCAAAATTGCCAAGGGTGCAATGAATGATACTTCATAAATGCTCATACGACAGCTTAAAACTTAATGGACAACTGGAAAATGAAAAAATCTAAGCTTTGGTAAATGCGAAAAAAGTTCTTTGATTTCCCGTATATAATAGCAGAAGATCAAATTCTGAGGTCAACGTACGGACACCGTGCAAGTGGGATTCTTAATTATTATTATTTTTATGTGCATTTGACCCTTTACCCATTACCCTTAATTTTATTATTTTTATGAGGGGAACTAGCAAAGGAATGCAAGCCAAAATCTCTTTCTTTACCCAATTTTGTCATTTCTCTCACCCAGAGTTCCAGTACAAGCCCTATCTGGATCATTATGTCACCACATATTGGTTAACCAGTCCTGTACAATATAATCTGAATCAATGTCACCACAAGTTGATTAAACTATTCCTTCAAAGAATGCACTGAGCAAAAATAAATAAATAAAACATAACTTTCGATGATTTGTATAATATGTAATACCTACTCCTAGAGAACTCGGTAAGAATCTTGTATTTTTCTTTGAATATGTTAAATCGGTAATTAAAAAGCCGACTAGAGTTGAATAGGTAAGTTTGAAGTTGAATTGGGAGAATCCCTCTCGGAGAGCATTGCGGCGTTTCTCTCTCTTTGGGATGAGAAGTTTTGGGAACGCAGTAGTGCTCGGTGTGGCAACACTGCAACACTAAAGCCTTTGTTTGAGGGAATGAATTGGGCGACAATGAAAGCAAACGCTGAAGAGCTATGCTATTTGTTTAGCATAATATGGAATATTAGAGGGAGCACTGTTGCGTTGGGTAAGGTAATACTGCGGCACTACATCAAAAATGATATTTTTATATATATAATTATCTAAATCCATTTATCATCTCCCTCACCCTCACCATACCCTCACTTCATATATGCTCATATTCATGTTCAATGTTATATATACATGTCAATCATGTTATTATCTGTGCATATCATGTTAACATGGCAGAAGTTCTAATGTGGGAGGTATTCAAGTACACTACAAATTCTCTTATATGAGCCAAAATTCTGTTAATGTTCTTTTTTTGTTATTGTTCCTCCATTTGTCTTTTGTCGATGAGAGCTGTTTAAAAGAGTTAAAGTAAAAGTAGAGTTATAAAGAGAATCAAATTAGGTCTCCTTCATCTGCTATGAGCAGGTGGATTAACCTTGGGTGGCATAAACAGAAGAGAAGTTATAAGCAAGCATCAGGATATATGTTGTAATCAAAAATTTTGGAGAGGGATCCAAATTTTTGATCACAAAAGAAAAACAACTTCCTATATAAAAGAAGACACAAAATACCCAAAAAGAAGAGATAACTTAGAAATTTTAGAACAAACTCTTACATTTCATATAAACGAACACTTTTATAAATAAAGACTTACAACTCTTAAAATTAAACGTCTTACAAACAAAGACTCTAACAAGACACCCTAAACTTACTTTACTTGAGAAGAAGGATACAAGTGGGGTGTAAACTTGCGGAGAGACGAAAGAGGTTAGAAGCCAAGACGGGAGAAAAGAGCTCGCAAGATTTCCTGGGGAGATGAGAAGGAGAATGAAACAAGCTCGCAAGCTTTTCCAATAAAACCCGCAGGTTTACATTTCCAAAAATTCATATATCACTCTTTTAAAACAATACATAACCCCTCATATTTATAGGTATGAAAGGAGAATACAAACAGACACTTAAATAAATTTCCACAAGAACCCAAACATCACAAGCCATGGAAAAGCCCCCTTGCTTTCACGGCAAAACAGCCCAGCCCAGGAAACCGAAGAAGCAACCACGGGAACCCAAGAGGCCGCACGAAACCAAGGCGCCAAAAGCCATGAGAAGGCCCCCAGTTCGGAAAAACAGCAGCCAACCGTGGAAGCCAAGAAGCCACGGCATGGGAGAACAAACTTCCTTGGGATTCCAAAAGCCATTTTGGAGTCCCAAGGGACAACTTAAATTAAGACATAAAAAACTATAAAATTACATTAATTAAAAGATAACTATGAACTAAAACTTAGCTAATAATGAGCTAACCCTTAGTTCAATAAATGAACTAAAAACCAACTCATAAATGAGCTAAATTCCAGCTCAAATTTTATTGACCAACTTATTTTTGATTTGAGTTGACCCCCCATTTGCCTACATCAGAGTCCCCTTCTTGAGAACTCATCTCCCGATGAGTTAGCTTTCGATTCTTCTGAGGAGGTGAAGACGGTGCATCCAATTCATTGATCAAATATTCATATCTCTGCATGATCTCATCTTGTTCTCTCAGGAATTTATCTTGTAAACGCTGCTTTTTCTTCATATACCTTTCTGTACGTAGGTGCATCCATGATTAAAGTTTGTACAATTCATACTTTAGAGGATTTGTTGACTTTGATGGAATCCACCTATCCTTAAGATCTTCAATTTCATCTGGTTTACTTTCTTCAATTTTTTTTGTCTTTTTTTTTTCATTTTTTTTAGACGACTCAAAAAAGACTCAAAAGACCCAACCAAAAAAAACTTAAGACTCACAATACTTTCAAGACTCACCAACTTAAAAACTTAAAACTCACAATAAGACTTACGACAAAACTTGACAAAATAAAACTTGACAAACCAAAACAAAACTTGACTTGACAAACTAAAATAAAACATGACAAACCAAAACTTTACAACCAAATCCTAAGACTTCCTAACTTATTCTGATACCAAATTAATGCAATCAAAAATTTCGGAAAGGACCCAAATTTTTTATCACAAAAGAAAATGAATTCCTAACTTGTTCTGATACCAAATGATGTAATCAAAAATTTGGGAGAGGGACCCAAATTTTTTATCACAAAAGAAAAACAACTTCCTATATATAAGAAGACACAAAATACCCAAAAAGAATAGATAATTTAGAAATTTTAGAACAAACTCTTACATTTCATATAAACGAACACTTTTATAAATAAAGACTTACAACTCTTAAAATTAAATGTCTTACAAACAAAGACTCTAACAAGACACCCTAAACTTGCTTTACTTGAGAAGAAGAATATAAGTGGGGTGTAAACTTGCGGAGAGACGAAAGAGGTTAGAAGCCAAGACGAAGGGTGGAAAGAGCTCGCAAGATTTCCTGGGGAGATGAGAAGGAGAATGGAACAAGCTCGCAAGCTTTTCCAATAAAACCCGCAGGTTTACATTTCCAAAAATTCATATATCACTCTCTTAAAACAATACATAACCCCTCATATTTATAAGTATGAAAGGGGAATACAAACAGACACTTAAATAAATTTCCACAATAACCCAAACATCACAAGCCATGGAAAAGCCCCCTTGCTTTTCACGGCAAAACAGCCCAGCCCAGGAAACCGAAGAAGAAGCCACGGGAACCCAAGAGGCCACACGGAACCGAGGCGCCAAAAGCCACGGGAAGGTCCCCAATTCGGAAAAGCAACAATCAACCGTGGAAGCCAAGGCAAACTTCCTTGGGATTCCAAAAGCCATTTTGGAATCCCAAGCGACAACTTAAATTAAGACATAAAAAACTATAAAATTACATTAATTAAAAGATAAATATGAACTAAAACTTAGCTAATAATGAGCTAACCCTTAGTTCAATAAATAAACTAAAAACCAGCTCATAAATGAGCTAAATTCCAGCTCAAATTTTATTGAACTTGTAAGCTCAAGGGAAGTCAAAACCAATTTATTTTGGGTTTGAGTTGACCCCCCCTTTGCCTACATCAATATGTGTATATCATATTACATATACTTTATAACCAACTCAATAAGTAATATTTGTTGATACTTTTGTTTAAAATTGTTTATTTTGATATTGACAAGCAAGCTTTGGTGACAACTAAATTCTGTTCAAGTTCATGTCTCTGATATATATACAAATCTAAATAAAGTAAGTGTCACCTTTCTGATAAGGCTAAATAAGTAAGAATGAACGGGTGCAATGTTAACATTTTTTTAATGTTAAAATTCTATTATGTTTAATATTGTTAAACCTATTATATTCAATAATTGCAAATGTTATTTTGGATTTTTATAATAGTACTTGGGAAATTCTACTAAGCAAGTAATTGCTCAATCCATATGTTTCAAGTTATTTCAAGTAATTTCAGTCGACAAGGTTGAGTTTATCAGGAGCTATTCGACTAAGAGGTATTTTGATAGTCCAGATTTTCTTATGTTTTGATGTGCAGAACAATTTATATTGGAATATTTGTCTATAATTCTTTTGCAATGAAATCTGGATGGATATTTATACTATTTAATTGCTTTTGGATTATTAAGTTGACTCTAGTATGTTATGTATTAAGGATAAGATATGTATCTTCAAATTTTAATTCTTTTAGTAGGCTCTGTGGCATGACATAATATGCTTGGTGCTAAGAAAAAAGAGAAAGAGATGTGTAGAATAGTTAAGATAAAAAAAATAAAAGACTAGAAGCTTTGATCAAATTAGACGTATTAGAAGTAAAGATAATAGGACCATGATTAAAAATAAAGGCATAAAAAAAGATGAAAATTATTAAATGAGAGATACAAGAAAGAATTTATTTTGAAAGATATTAATGATAATTTAATGCAGTATCAAATATTGATTTAGAAAAGTCAAGTAGAGTTAAATGTAAGAAAATGCACAAAGATGAAGTCTTTAGGTCAATAAGACATGCATCATGGAAATATTATCATGGTTTAATAAACAAATCATTATAACGGAGCTTTGAATACCATAAGGATGTCAAATGGTTGAAGAAGTATTTTGGAACTAATCTTTAAGAACAAATGAGATGTTCAACATTTCACTAACTATAAAGG